ACTATAGATGGCCAGTGAAAAAGATACAGAACATTGAGCCTCCTGCTGTTTCATCTACTTCACATGCATCCCAATTGCATGAACTAGATTTCCTGTCTACTTTTTAAGGCTTTCTTTTATAAGTTTCTTTTCATATTTAATCAGGGCGGCTCCTCTCTATTGCCATTGTCTTTAGTAATATAGTTCATGAAAAACAACGGCGATTATATGACGGTGAGAAATGGGAGTTAAAAACTACAGATGGGATATGATACATTTAGGAAATGATAAATAAATTTGATATATGTGAAATGTTCACCAATTTCAGGAATTTTCAAAGAAAACCACATTTATCCACATTTGTGATTCTAATCATCATCTAAGAACAGAATTATATCATAAAGCTGCAGAAGCCATATTTAAAATGAAAGAAAATTTTCAGCTCCTTAAATACTATGTCATTTTTATAGTAAAAGTGTGATAAATTTGCAGTAAAGATAATTCGTTTCCTTGATCCATCATGGAGAGAATGTGAATCGTGGTCTCAAAAGAGATCTTGGGGCGATTCACCTATCTGCACAGTCTCCTGTGTTCCCCTTCGCATTACAAGCCCACAACACTCATGGCAAACCTAGAAAGCCAAATTCCCTCTGCTGATCCCAGTACAAGGGTACCAGAATCCTGGTTCTACAGTGGAAGGTGGAAGAGACATTCAAATCAAAGTGACTGGATCCCTAGCAAAAAAGAGAATGCAGAGCATTTGTGAGCTTTAATGTGCCATGGAGTGTTTCTTCTTAGACACTATGCCTCAAACTTAAAAAAAAAATACTCAATATACACTTCTTTACTTAAAAAATATTCTCAGTTTGATTTTCAACTCCCAGAACAATAAAAGATATTGTATGAGTTTTCAGTGTTTTTCTGATTACGATTTATTTTTCTCTTTCCTGAAATCTCAATGGAGTAGAGAAGGGGAGAGGGTATCAATACAGTAGAAATAGATAAAAAATAAGTCTATTTAAAATGTCTAGTGAAGAGTAAAAGGCTACAGCTTTTGACCCCATGGGTAATGAGGGCAGGATTCTCAATCTTGCAGACTAGAGGGAAGAACAATCTCCCTCTCCATAGTCAGGACATGAAAGTATGGTTTAAGAAGTGGGGTTCATATGCCACACTGGTTTGTTCTACCTATAATTCCAACAAGAACTAACAGCCAGTATTAAAGCCTTATTCCTCAGGGTGTGGCACTTAGATCAGAAGAGGGCATCACAAAGGAGCTTGTTAGAAATGCAGACTCTCAGCAGGATGTGGGTGGCTCAGGCCTGTAAACCTAGCACTCTAGGAGGCTGAGGTATGAGGATATTTTGAGGTTCAAGACCAGCCTGAACAAGAGTGAGATTCCATCTCTACAAGAAACAAAAAAAATGTGCCAGTTATGGTGGCACGTGCCTGTAGCCCCAGCTACTTGGGAGGCTAAGGCAGGAGGAACACTTGAGTCCAGGAGTTTGAGCTGCAGTGAGCTACGATGACGCCACTGCACTGTAGCCCAGGTGACAGAACATGACACTTTCTCAGAAAAAAGAAAGAACAGAAGGAAAAAAAAGAAATGCAGACTCCTGGGCATAACTCAAGACACAGTAAATCTGAATCTGCATTTTAACAAGATGCCCAGGTGATTCACATGCACAAATGTGAGGTTTCAGAAGCACTGTTGGAGAGAACTTGGAATGAGCAGGTGGACACCTAATCCCTTCCTACTGAGGATGTTTACTTCACTTCTCCACTGCAAATAAATTCACACTGTTTCCAGCAGTAAAACTTCTACTGCACTTGAATAAAAAACAAAGTTGGACTTTCAATTCCTGTTCTGCTACTTACTAGCAAGTTACTGAACTTATCTGAGTACCAGTTTTTGTACCAAAAAAAAAGGAATAAGAAAGAAAACTATTTTCCAGGGCTGTTATGAGAATTTGATGAGGGCAATGTTAAGGATGTCCAGGAATGTGCCTAGCACAAGCCTTCTGACTTGTAAATAAAATATACCATCTGACTTGTAAATAAAATACAGGATCTGCAGACACTACTTTAACATTAAAAAAATAATGATGCTAGCTTGCCCAAAGTTAACATATGATATATTTTACATAAATCTAAAAAAATACCAACAGATGATTTTAACTGGATAAAATAATCTTAAAGTTCATATAGAAAAAGAAATCTTAACCAAGAAAAGAAATGCATATGCTCAAAAAATAATATAAAAGAACATAGAAATTTATATTTGAAGGAACATATAAAAATTTGTTTAACTATTTTATAACAACAGATAACATAAATGAAATCAACACTCAAATCAATGGGGCAAACCTAGATGATAAATATGAAATAGTTGATGAATATGAAATGAAATGATACATATGAAAAAATATATATATAATGATGTTCATGCTTACTGGTAGTGGGGGTGGTACAAAACAAAGTAACAGTGAGATTAATATTTTAAACTTTTCAGATTGGCAAAAATTAAAAAGTACCATAATACCAGCAAGATGGCAACAAAATATTTTTGTACACATAATAGGGTACATTGGTGCTTTTATTTCTAGGGGATAGATTCCCAGGCCAAGATTGCTGGGTCAAAAGAATTGCAGTAGTAGGCAGCAGCAGTAGGAGTATTACTGCTAACAATAACTATTACTAGTATGAGTACTACAAAGATGATAGCAATCCACCTCTTGGTGGATAGCAACCCACCTCTACTAATACCAATCATTACTATAGTAGTTGTAGTAATAACAACTGCAAGCACTACTTCTGCATAGATAGCACTTACTTTGTGCCACTGTTCTAAGTGTTTTATATATATATATATATATATATATAAAAGGATTGTCAAAAGAACTCTAAAATATAGAAACTGTTATTTCTATTTTACAGACTAAGAAACTGAGACATTTAATGTTCATGGCAAACATAGTAAGAACTACATGTTAGCTATTTTATATGCTAGCTAGATATGTTAGCTATCTTGTTGTTTTTGACATCACATATTATTTGATATTATTTGATTAAAGGATATACATATATGTGGACAGGAATAAGTAAATCTATCTTTGCATGAAACAAATTAAAATGCAGAGGGATGCACACTAGGTGGTTAACCTGGATTGCTTTGTTGGAGAGAAAGTGACAGTGGGAGAAGAAGAGGGCTGGATAAAGAGAGAAGCAATTCGAATAAATCAATACACAGACACACACACACACACAAACAATTAGAAAATTACAAAGTTGAAGTGCAGGATAACAACAAAGAAATAACATTTTACATTCTCTGGTGACACAAAGAACCCTGAAGGAGTTTAATGAATAGATATTTTTAAGTAAATTTCATTTTAAGAAGAGCAATGCTTTGTTAAATGACTTGGATTTTTTTACCCCCACACAATACAAATTATTAAGAAATTTTCCATAACTTTATTCTCTATTGAGTAACAAAAATATCTCAGTAATTCCAAGATTCGAAACTCAGCCAGGGTAAAGTTAAAGGCACTGTCTAAGGGCAGGAAAGCTGAGTTCTGTTCCTGGCACCGCCACCATTGGACTATTTGACCTTTGGCAAGTCACTTAACCTGTGCTTAATTTCCTCACTTACAAAGGAAGGAAGTTCAGCCAGGCCATCTCTAAAGTTCCTTTTAGTAGTAGAATGTGATGATTCTACAGTCAAAAAGCATAATGTAGAAAAGTGAAAAACTAGTAAATAAGAGTGGTAATTACTGTATGTTTTTAAGAAATAGTTCAAAACCTTGATACCTGATAGCTAAACAGGGAACTTAATGATCTATTTTAAAATGTACCTTTTAAAAATTAAAACTATAATGAGATCAGCTAGTGATTTTATATTTCCAAATAATGAATTTAACTACTCCATGCTTTAATTTTCTAAAAAAAAAATGGTGCCATTTTAGATATCTTTCAGATTACTCACTGAAGTAAAATTTAATTTGTTCCTTAAAATGGTGACATCCATAAGTAGCAGTTCAACCAAACTGTCATCCTCTAGAGACCACAGATAATAGCCCTACAAAAAAGGTCTGGTCAATGCCAGCCAGCCAGCCAAATAAATAAATTGCACATTAAAATTTCTAACAGCAAACTTTGAATAAAATTATTAAAAGAACACAAAAACAATTTTAAATTTGCTTAAGCATGACAACCACATGAAGCAACATTCACAGTTTTAACTTTTATATTTACCTAAGTTTTATAAATAATAATGTGATTATTTAATAACACTTCATGAAAATTTATGCCTGGGCATAAAGCATAAAAAGCCACTAACTCATAGAGCATAAAGATTTCCATGAGCCTGTTAAATTTTATGTATTTTATTTCCTTAAATGGTTATGGGATTTTCCAAAAACATACACAAAATTCCTTAAACTTTGCCAATTTAGAAATAGTTACATGAAAACCACCTTTCAGACTGTGTGGAATCCCCTAGAAAAATCTACACAGTTTTTCGATAGGCTATCTGGGTATTAATTCTCACACACACACACACACACAAACATATTAAGACTTGCCCCAACCAGATTTTACAGTCTAGGGTGACATAGAGAAACAATTTATGGCCTGCACAGTTATCTAAAATTCCTGCAAATAACCGGTTCCCTAACTAGTATGTCATAATTTTCTTATCTATGAGTACAAGCACGTGCATTTATTTATATCCCTAGATTAACTTCAAGTCTAATTTTACTGCCACTAGTATCCAGGGGTGGATTTTCTTTTTTTTCTAATTACAAATGGAACTTGAGCTAGATCAAAGGCATTTTAAGAAGGTCAAGTTTTACTTCTCTAAAAAACAGAGGGTGTTATCCCATGTAATTAATTAATGCTTAGCCATGCCGTTTGGCGCATTATCTGGTGGCCGCAAAAAAAAAAAAAAAAAAAAAAAAAAAAAAAAAAAAAACGGAGCCAGCCGTTCCCACCTGTTGGTGCAATGGAACTGCGTGACTTACCCAAAAAAGCAGATTGAGAGCGTAGAGCAGGCAGCGCAGACACTTCACGGAATCTTCTCTTGCCATTGTGAGCCCCTGAAGGGAGAAGCCCCATCCTCTCACCACATCCTACCCTCAAGGGCAAAACGGCAGCGACCTGCGGGAGGCAGACGGGGAGAACAGGGGACTGCTCAGCACCGCGCTGCCCACCGCCCGCCCATCCCTCCTCCGCCAGCCCCCAGCCGGGTGCAGAGGGTCCCGAGGACTAGTTCAATCCAGACATCGCTTCATCAGCACTCATTTGTTAAAGTCATAATAGTAACTCGCTCATTTGTTAAAGCCATAATAGTAACTAAACTCCCCAAAGTTCCCACCCGGCTTCAGATAACACCTGCTGGGAAAAGAAAAGATTGACTCTCCGGATGAATGAAAGCGCACAGTAAACCCCCATTCTCAGGGGACACGCAGCGGGGGCCTCTGCGTCCCGAAGAGACGCGCTTGAAACCCCCCCTCCATCCACGCCCCTCCTCGGGGACAGCTCTGCTCGGAACTGTCCCGAAGGTTAAAAAGCACAGCGGCCCCCCGAGACGTCACAGGCGCCACCAGGGAGCCGGCGGGTGCGAATATCCTCCTCGACAGGACAGTTCCTGGGCTCCCCAACTCCGCACCCTGCCTACGCGGCCCGCAGCTCGGGTGTGCACCCAGGGGACTGGAGGGGGCGCCGCGCCGAGCTGGGATTCCGCTCCGCGATGAGGGTTTCTCTGGGGGAACGTGAGAAATGATGTTTTCGGCCCGGGAATGATGGATTAGCCCGGGGCGGGGGGCCGAGAGGGAGCGCCAGGGAATTAGGGCCGGTGCAGCTGTGCAGACGCCGGGCTAGTCATCCCGAGCCCCCCTCCCCCGGCCCGGCCGCCACCGCGACCCCGCGCCGCGAGCCGCCCGCGGAGCACAAAGCGAGCGAGCGCGGTCCCCAGCCGGGCCACCGCGTCCGCGCGCCCCCGGCAGGGCGCGGGGGGAAGCGCCGGCGCCGGGAGCTCCGGAGCCAGCCTCTAAGTAGTTTAGCACACAGCGCCCGGGGCAGCCGCCGGCGGGCTGGCGGGACGGCCGGCAGGAAAGACGAGAGACGAGCGGCCACTCACCGTCGGCGCTGGGCTGCGGGCCCCACTCCCGCCGGGGGACGGCCAGGGACCCACGGCGGGGGCTCATCAGGGCAGGGACGCGCTTTCCGAAGAGCAGAAGGGCTGCATTGGCTCAAGCGGGAGACGCTGCTTTCTCTTCCTCTCCCCGCACCGCCGCCGTCGCCGCCTCCTGGGAAAAAGAGAGAGAGAGAGAAAAAAAAAAGAGTCCTGGGCAGCAGTTGCTGGAAAGTCTCCGCTAAGCCACCTCCCAACGCCGCTGTCCCTCCCAAGTCCTCGCCAAGTCCGGACGAGGCAGCGGCGGCAGCCAGGGCCAGCTGCACAAACTCTCAGCGCATGCTCGAGCCGCTGGCTGCCCGGGTTGGGTCCTAGTGGGTGTTTCTTGTCCCGCTGCCTCGGCGTGGGTGCCCAAAGGGACGGCTCACCTCTACGAGACACGGTCCCGAAGGAGGTAAAGCCTAGGGACTTTGGAGAAGTCCGCGCAGTGAACCCCTTTAAAATGGTGGTGTCGGAGGAATGGAGGCTGGGTTATAACCATAGGGAAACAGGCTTTTATTATATGAAAATATTTGTGTTTGAGAAGGGGGGCGAAGGGGTGGCCCAGCCCAATTCCTGCAATGAGAAACTGGTTTTCACAACCTTTATGGAGCCACCTCCTGTGATTTGTCATTAACATGGTGCCCTATGATCCTTCTTACCGCTTTGTTGCCCTCCCTAATTTTAAAAAAACAGTTCTTTCCCACTTTCATACTGCACTAACAGCATTTACGGAAACATCAGAGTAATGTGTCCAGTCTGACATCCAGGATGGGAAGAAGGAAGATTTTTTTTAACTTTTAAAAAAGTAACCCAAACTTTCCAAAATTTCTCCCAATAAAATTGTTTTGAGTTTTAACTTGGTGATTTATTTTGAAATATGTACACAGTAGTGGGTCTTTGGAAAACTGCATTATTTAAATCTAGAAATTCACGAAGTATTAAAGTAACAAGAAGAGACCATCCATCCAAAAGTATCTTTCTTTTTATAAGGAAGAAATGGCACACTTAAAAATGAAAACCACTGGATCATATTCTCCACATTACATGTTAATGGTTTATGCCTCTCAATAGTGTGCATTTCTATAATCACTTTTGAGCATATTGTATGGCAAATAAAACTTTGCCAACAAATCTGAATTACCTGAAATACAAGCAACATATTTGAGAAAACCTCTAATAATTGGAGCCCACCTTAAATTTCCTTGTAGGAAAAAAGAAAATTGGGTTCCTGTGTCTATCATTGCCTGTAAGGGTCAGTTGATGTGTGACCAAAGTGACAGTGAGACAAGCAGTCTCATTTGGGAAGAAGTAAAGTCAAAACCAAAAGACAACATGAGCGTCCTGGGTTAGGCTAGGAAGATTCTTGCTACGCAAGTCACTAAGCAGTATGTAAGACAGCACTTCAAAAGAGTATAAAGAAGTATAGCCAGGCACACAAAGAACCAAGAAAAATGTCTAGACTTCCATCAGATAACTCCAATTCTGATAACAAAGCAGCTTCTAGAATCATGGAGAAGAGCAAAGAAACCCAGTTTAGACTCTGTCAGTTTCTGTTCACATTAGGGGATATGCCTTTTCTAAGCAGAGGACTGCTGAAACAGCCAGCCACAGGAATACCCTTAGTGCCACACATTCCTCTGAGAGATATAAACATCCCCACATTGAGGGGAGCCTATGACTGCCATTAAAACTGAGAAAAAGGCTGGGCACAGTGGCTCACACCTGTAATTCCCATGCTTTGGGAGGCCAAGGAGGGAAGATAGCTTGAAGCCAGGACTTCAAGACCATCCTGGGCAATATAATGAGACCCTGTTATTTTCGGAGAAACATGGTATTCATGAGGCTAACATGGGAGGGTCGCTTGAGCCCAGGAGTAAAATCAAAAACAAAAACAAACTGAGAAAAAGAGTGCCAACAATTCACATGACTCAGAGAAAAGATCCTCTTCTATTTCTAGAAGGTGGTTAAGTGCCTTTTCCATAATTCATAAACTTTTGGAGGTCAGCTGCCCAAGAATAATACAATTTTAGAGAAAAGTGCTCTAAAGTACAGGTATGCCCCCCTCTTCCTGGTAAATAAGGAATATAAAACCAAGAGAAGTTAAAGGAATTGTTCAACATTACCTTTATGGTGCAACCAGATTCCAAACTAAAATCTAGATTCATGACACTCTAACTAGTACGCCAGTTTAGTGGTTCTCAAAATTGCTGTACATTAGACTCACTTGGAGAGCTTTGAAAAAAATCCTAATGCTCTAGCATACCCCACACCACTTAAATCAGAATCTCTGCAGGTGTGGCCTAGGCTTACAGAATTTTCAAAGCTCCCAAGGTAATTCTCTTCTGCAGCAAAGTTTGAAAACCACTGCAACTAGGGCTTTACAGCTGCCTAAAAACTAGCAAAAGAGTCTCTTTAGAATTAGTTGGATCAAATCTCTCTCCTGTGAGTTGATACATTGGGATTAATATCCCCAGTTTACAAGTTAAGAAGAAAACAGAGCTGTAGTTACTGCTCTATTATTCCTAATAAATGGTCATCAGAGACTGTGAATCAATATTTCAGTACAGGGGACTTCACTGTGTTTGAGGCATTGCAGTACTGGGTATTGGGATTGTTTAAACTAGACCTTCCCTCCTTTAACTTCTACCCTCAACCCTAGTTCTGCCCTTTGCAGTCCGTAGCATGAGCAAGAGCCTTTCTCCCATATGACAGCCCTTCAACTACTTGAGGGCAGCTGCTCTTCCCTCCCTCTCCAATTCTTCTCTTCCTCAGGATTATAGAAGTACAGTAAGACTTGACATCACAGCTGTCATTCTGCAGCCTCTATATTTTCCTCTGTGAGAGCTGCTTTTTGGAGCAAAAAGGAGGGTAGAAAAATCACAATATGCACATAAAAATTTGAATGTGGAATAATGCCTTAAGAAGACTGTATGGTCTATTCATTGCCCATGAGGCAATGAATAGGAACCCAATTCTATGGCCATGTGTGCTTCATTATGCATCATTTGCGTATGTGGCACCTACTGTGCCTCATGCTGAAGATGCTAAGACAAGTCCTCACCCTCCAAGAAAAGGCAAAACTGTTTTTTATCCTATTTATAAAATAATAATATCAATAACAATAAGATAAATATTTATAAGCAACTGCATATATGTCAGTCCTGAAGTCATGAGTAAAACTCAGCTATACAGGAAGATAATACAAGTGCCTCACTCCAGAAGGCACCTCATTGGTCCATATCCTATTCTACGCATTCGTTCAAGTCATAGAGAAGGAAAGAGCAGACGTTTGGTTAGATGGATGAGCTTCTATTGCTTCTTAGTACAAAACCCTTGTAAGTACACCTAAGCCGAGTCTTCATAATTAATTCAGGAAGGACACCTCATATGTTCTGCATAAGCTATATGTGCCAGACATGATAAGTGCTTCTCAAAATGCATCTTATTAATTCATCTTCCTCATAACCACACAGTGATATACTGACACTCAGTTGATTTCTATCAAGGCCCCACTAGTAGTAGTTACAGAAGCTGGGATTCCCACTGAGATCTGTCTGACTCTTTGTACTATTGATCTGTATTACAATAAAATTGCAAATCTGAGTGGGGATTCATTGACAAGCCTCAAGAAGAAAAAAATTCTAGGCCTTTCTTATGAGTTCTTGGGAATATGAAGCTGAATTTCAGATATGTCCACTCAAACTACAATTGGTAAAGCTACCTTCACCTTTCACTTCTGAAAGAGTATACCCAGTACGACTCGAGCAAAACCTTTTGTTACTGAATTAAATAGACTGCTCTCTACTGCAAGCTTAGGGTTGCCAGATAAAATACAAGATGCCTCATTAGATTTGAACTTCTGATAAACAACAAATAATTTTTTGTATAAGCACATCCCAAATGTTACATGGAACAAATACTGCATTGGACATACATATCCTAAAAAATTATTCAATGTCTACTTGAAATTCAAGTTCAACTGCACATCCTACATTTTTGTTTGCTAAATCTGGCTACCCTGTGAAAACTAACAAATGTAACTCAAAGTATTGCAAAATAAGTAAACGTTTTGTTTCACATACTCTCTTGACATATACAATGTGTCATCATATTGCGCTTGGCTACCTACTCTCATGGTCAAAAGATCGCTGTGCAAACCCAGGCATCTCATTCAGTTGCCACTACTTCTAGAGCAGGAAAAAACTATTTCCTCCTATGGGTCTCTCTGGGATCATGTAAATCTTTCCCAGGAGTTTTGAAGCAGGTTATTCCTTTTGATTCATTGGCTAAAACCCTGTCACATACTCACATATAAACCAATTGTTGGCATGAAGTGTGGTTCTATCACGACTGGTTTTAAACCAGTCAGCATGCATTTCCCTGTGCCTGGGCAAGCCTTCTCTAAAACACATGGCCAAACAGAGGAGGGTAGATAATCAAACACAGATTTTTGTTTGAACTGGGGGGTAAAGAAAGCAATAGATGCTACTATCCTCTCTCCTGCTCATTTGTAAAGCAACCCAGCTGTCAGACAGCCATTTATGTGGCGCTACTTAGCAAAGGTTCTTAGCAAACGTCCTGAAACAAGAACCTGCTGGCAATAGCAGAAAGCCCGAAGAAAACTCAGATCACATCATCTCCATCCCATGCCATAAGCTGACTTTCCATACCTTCATTCTCATTTATATACCACATTATTGATTAAAGAATTGCCCAAATCAGTACCCTCATATAAACTCCTAGAACATTTTCCTCTTAAGGTTTATCCAAACCCGGCCTCCACACAAAGTTCAGGGATTTAGACTCATTTTACCCACAGACATTGGTATAAATAACTCAGTAGTATTCAATAAATATTTATTGAATTGTTACTATAAACTGAGATCTGTGCTAGGAAACACCAAAAGTTCCACCATAATTTTTCTTTAGGACAACAAAGCAATGTTAGTAGTTTATTTTCTTTGTAAAAAGTCATCTGTATTTTGACTCTCAAAAAATTTATAATTTCTTTAATATACTTCCTCTTCAGAAAGCAAAACTTATAGTACTTAAGAACTTTTTGTGAGGAGTCTTAATTTTTATAGTTCTTTGAAACAAACTGCAAAGGAAAGGAAGGAATACTGGTCTATTTATAAAGAGCTGGCAAATTCTCCTTTTCTTAGAAAGATCATTAACAATTATTCTGTTATAGCACTACAGCAGCTTCTTGTCATGCCCACAGCACAACTAGAAAATGATACACAATTAGTTGCTATGAATATTAGACATTTGTCTTCATTTGCTGCTTCTCTAATTTTCTTGCTATTTTAAAACTTTCAGATTACTTCAATACTGCACTAAATAAAACATTTATTTATTTACACTAGATAAACTCTTTTAATTTAAAAATTATTTTCAGTTGCCTAATACAAACTCACATATCCCCATCCTACCAAGTATTATAAACCAACCATTTTATGGAACAAAAACAATCATGATTTTGTCTTTGAATTTAGCCTTTACAAAAGTTTTATCATTGAGATTTAGACTTTCTATTCCTACATTGGTATTCGT